TCGTAGTAGGGCTAATCCTTCAGTTACCGTATCGGATAGCAAAAGAACGTCATCTATGTACACAAGGACCGTTCCCGAATCGATGAAAGATTTGAGCATCTTTGAAATGATCTTTTGATAAAATACTGGAGCATTAGAAAGGCCATAAGGCATCTTAACTTATTCGAAGTGACCCTCTGGGGTCACGAAAGCGGTTTTGGCGATTGACCCTGCTTCCATAGGCAACTGATGAAAGCCAGTCGCCATACCTAAACTCGTAAAGAATCTACTTGATCCTAACCTATGTCATCCTCTATGAGTGGCAAAGGAAACTTATCCTTTACAGTACGTGAATTCAAGACCCTATAATCTACGCACATTCGATCTGTGCCGTCTTTCTTTTTGGCCAAAATTACTGGGCTTGCATAAGGTGATTCGGATTCACGTATAATGCCTTTAGCAATTAAGTCTTTAACTATACTTCGAACGCGAAGCTTCTCATCATACGATAATTTTTACGGCCTATAGCATACTGGTTCATTGTTTGAAACTTCTATTTTCATACTACCTGTCGTGACTGTGGTCGAAGCCGTACCGGTTATAAAGAACCTTGAAAAATTATTTATAACCAACAAAAGCTGTTCTTTCTCTTCACCTATGAGAGGTGTGTTCACGTTATTAATACCGAAAGCATGGTTTACCGGTATAGGTATGCCTGTACGGGTCAGAATTTGAACACCATTGTGTCGGATATATGTGATGCCCTCACGATTCAAAATATCGGTGCCTATAATGACTGGAGTACTGCTGCAATTGTGGGGTACCACATAAAAATCGGCTTCGATAAATATGTGAGGTAGCTCCACAATTAATGTCACAAACGAGGTACATTCAATAATCTGACTTCCTATGACACGCAAGGCGCGATATGTTGGTTTTCGGTTAGCCTTAAAGTGTTTTAACAATGAACTCGATACGAGTGATATATAGGAATCAATGTCTACTAATAAATCAATCGTTATGCCTTCGATTACCGCGGTTGTAACATCAATTGTCGACTGAACGTTACTGTCTAATTTACTACAAAAATTAACATTGTGTGGATTGAGTTTTGTCGACTCTGAGCGTTGTTTGATAAAACAATTACTAATTTCATGACCATTCTTTATGCAAAATGAGCATGTTACAGAATTTAGGGACTGCGTGTTAGACGGTGACGCCCCCAAACTATTACCTAGTCGCATTCTTTTAACACTCATACAGTCTGTACGTTTATGCCCAAACCTTCCACACAAGTGACATTTTAAATCGCCAATTCCCTTTTTATTTTCATTTCGTCGGGTAATGGTCGACCCAAGACTAGAGCGCTATTCACGAGATATATCGCGGGTAGACAAAAAATAATTTTTTGGTTTTACGTACATCGACAAAAATTGCACTAAATCATTGGGTTATAGCTTTGCATTAGCAGCTGCAGCTTTAATGTGAGGATCTGTGATGCCTCTCAATACTATAGCAACAATTAGTTCGTCAGATATTCCCTTAACCAAACCCAACCTTAACAATGAACTTTTAGCGTATTCGGCGTAAGTGGCGTAACTTTTAGAATCTTTGGTTATCACTTCGTAGAGAATAGACGCAATATCGACGGTTCGGGTGCACAACATTTTAAATTCTCGTTTGAAATTCGTCCATGAACGATCGGTGCTAGACCACTCGTTAAGCCACACTCGTTATCGTCCCATCCGTTAGTTTCTTTAGCTCTATCAACCTCTTCGCACCAAACGTCGATATTGTGAAGATGTGGGTCAAAGTTAGTAATATAATAATTATTAGACCTTACTTTAACTAGCGAAGTGATGGCCTCCACGATTCTGCAAGTTGCGTCCCCGTCTGTAGCAATGCTCTCCTGTGATAACAAAATAGGTGCGCGGCCTGCCGTTGAATTGCAGTCATGTACGTCGTTGGTGGCTGCGTGCGCGCTGGTGAGCGCGGGCAGCACCGAACGCGGTGCCAACCCCGAAGATGTTGATGCGGCCTGTAATAGTGGCTCGGACGGCGGCGGCGGTAAAGTAAAACGTTCCTCGAGCGTATTCAATCTGGCAAGGATAGCATCCAGCACATCCTTATTCGACTCATGCTTGCGTTTACGAGAGCGATCTAATTAAAACACTAATCTTTTTAACTTTAATTTTAGTCAGGTGTTCCGAAAGAGGGTAGGCAACGAAGCACTATTCCACTGAAATAATACTAGTTTTTACGGAATTTATCGCGTATATTTAACTTTTTAATTACCCGACGTTTCGTACGCTTTACAGCACTCATGGTCACGGGCAGGATTGAGATGTTCAACGTCCATATGTCATAGTTAACCGCGGTTACCATAGATTAAAATTTAACTTTTGTTCCGATCTATGCAGTATGAACTTATCGTATCTTGAAGTCTTGCAGTTGTATGCTTGGGTTTTATTTTATTTATTATTATTTAGGGATATATATTTAGGGATTTAATTTTATTTATTATAGGATCCCAAGCAGATGGTAGCACCCAGCCATCTTCTCTATTGAAATTAGGATGTTTTTTGATTTCAATAGCCTCGCGAATCATCCTTGGAAGGAATCGGTGTTCTTTAGCGAGGATCTGTGGTCTATCAAATCTGATGTAGTGACTCAAGAGAGAAGAGAAGAGAGTTTTTAAGAGATCAATAAAAACCCGCGTTAAAGAACATATAGCTGATGTGAAGAATCGACGCTCCGGGAAGTCTGCAGTCTGTGAACACGTGCAGGATCGCCCCCGTCACTACATCAGATTTGATAGACCGCAGATCCTCGCTAAAGAACACCGATTCCTTCCAAGGATGATTCGCGAGGCTATTGAAATCAAAAAACATCCTAATTTCAATAGAGAAGATGGCTGGGTGCTACCATCTGCTTGGGATCCTATAATAAATAAAATTAAATCCCAACCCAAGCATACAACTGCAAGACTTCAAGATACCATAAGTTCATACTGCATAGATCGGAACAAAAGTTAAATTTTAATCTATGGTAACCGCGGTTAACTATGACATATGGACGTTGAACATCTCAGTCCTGCCCGTGACCATGAGTGCTGTAAAGCGTTCGAAACGTCGGGTAATTAAAAAGTTAAATATACGCGATAAATTCCGTAAAAACTAGTATTATTTCAATGTGTAGTGTTCGCGTAAATATAAGAAATCATTACACTATTCCACTTCTGATATTACAGATTCAAGGTAAAATTCTTAATAAAAATGCACTCAAAACAAAAATTGTAATATAAATCTTTTATAACACTTTACAATATTAATCAGCAAACATGATTTAAGGTATTATCTAATTCCTAGTACAACCACTCTCTCCGACCGTTCGAGATAAAGTGCTCCGATAGGAGTAATAGTGTTCTGTGATAAAGTGACCCTGCAACCAGCTACGGCGACCGGATTTCTGGGCGCGAAACCCCACCACCGCGGTGACGCAATCATTAGCCACGCCCCCTGTCTAGTCATCATCGCGTAATACTAGATATTACATGAGGGCCCCATTAAAGCTTTGCGCCAACTGTAACTCCGAGACAAACAGTTGATTAAACAGAACTCAGCTCCTTCCCGTATAAAAGAACACTGTTATTCACCTGTTAAATATTTGGTGTTGTGAATATAATACATTTTGTTTTATTACCATTTAAAATAAAATAGTTAAACAAGTGTAGTGGACAAAAGGCTAGTGCCGATAGACAATAGTGAAGGGCGACCTGGTAAAACATGTAGGACGTTGATGGATGCAGGTGATTGAGGACCGTGCTTTGTGGCATTCCTTTGGGGAGATCTATGTTGAGCAATTTGTGACTTTAATGATAACGTTGATTAAACTAGTGATTACTAGTGTACTACTTTTGATATAGCCTTATTCATATCCTCATATTTTAACAATTGTCGTTTAGGTCTGAAAATCAACGAAGCGTCATCACTTATCAGCATATAAAACTATATCATGATTATTTAATTCCAAGTAAGGTAATTCATTAACATAAACTAAGAAAAGAAAGGGGCTAGGAATTGAGCCCTGGAGAACACTCACAAACTCTAAATACCACGGACCCGGAAAAACTGCTTCCATTAATAAAAATTATTTCCGATCGAACAATTATTTGAAGCACGTGCTTCTATTGTTATTTCGTCCGCTTGATATAATGCTAGTCTTATCATCACCGATAGTTCGCTGGGTTGAGTTAAACTGTCATCAAAATGGCCCAAAAACATTGAAATGTAACGGATCAATACATTGTAAAGTACGATAGAATAGGTTGTAAAGACATAGATACATTTACTTTTTTCAATAAAATTAAAATCATATTCATAATAATTGATTGACAACATTAAGGTTAGAGAACAGGAAAACGATCGCCGTAGAAAATAGTGTCCCAGAAATATGGACACCATAAGTGAGGCGCTGCGATCACTAGGTTCGGTCAATAAAAGTCTATTTTTCTGATCAGATGCTAAACCACTTGCACATCCACGCACAATAAAATATTTCTCAATTTTTTAATATTTCCTTTTGTCAAAAATTACAAAATTACGGAATGAAAATTTTCACATTAAAATGAAATGAAAATTTGTACATTATTCTACTAACTTCATCTACTTATACTCATAAACAGCTAATTTCGCAGTCACTACTCACCGACGTCAGCGCTGCTATATATTCTACAATTTTCAAGGACAGGCGGGCTATGCTTTAGTACGTAGTGATCGTTCTCCTGTTTTCTAATCTTTATGACTGACAACGACCATGACAATGACAAGTGACAACATAGACACGAAAATGACATATGACATATAGTATAGTTGCAGTTGTACATAGGTTGTATTTGTAACAAGATTTTTGAGAAACAGAGTTGGGAAGTAATATTTTTAGGAGAAAGTTAGTATAGAAACAACATCATGCTAACTTTTAGCGATTAGTGTTATTAGTGCAAAACATAGCGTACAAAAACCATGTCCAAATTAGAGAAAAGTTCAAAATCGGGATTTGTTATCAAATTATCATGTGAAACAGTTCAAAAGCTTACAGTGGAAGACGATAAGCAGAAAATAAAAGAAGAGGCATTTAAGCCTGATTTAGAAAAGGTAGATAAACAAAAAAATCAACGCACTAGTAGCACTGATGTTACGGATGAAAACAAACAAGAATCCATTTTGGAGGTTAAAACTAACAATGCCAAAGAAGAAAGAGAATTTTCTTCTCAAAAAAAAGTATTAAAAAATAGTGCTGAAGAAGAATCATCTACACATATTGACAAGGAAAATAAAACTGAGACAAGTAACTCATGGGGAAACTATGCTCCATATGTAACTTATGAAGGCGATAATGCCGTGTACACAGACCCCAATACACATCAAAAATATGTTTGGAATCACGAAACTAGCGCATGGGATCCCAAAGATAATAGTGAAATACCGGGCAGAGTTTATAGTTATGAGAATGATACTCATGTGTACACAGAACAGGATGGCTCTAAATTCTTTTGGGATGAAGATAAAAAAGCATGGATACCAAAAGTAGACGATGATTTTCTAGCATACTATCAAATGTCCTATGGATTTGTTGACAATAGTAAGGATGAGAAAAAAGAAGAGGCAAAGAAGGAAGAAATTCAAAAAAAGTCTGAAAATGCTGGAGTTAAAAGGAAAAGCGAACCTCAATGGTTCGAACCATCAGATGATAAGAATACTAAGGTTTATGTATCCAACCTCCCACTTGATTTAACTGAAGAAGAGTTTGTTAATTTCATGCAAAAATGTGGACTCGTAGAAAGAGACCCCAGCTCACAAAAAATGAAAGTCAAGCTATATATGGATAAGGAACAGAATTGTTTTAAAGGAGATGCTCTATGCACATATATTAAAATAGAGAGTGTTGACTTGGCATTGAAACTGCTTGATGGGAGCGATTTCAAAGGTAACAAAGTTAAAGTAGAAAGAGCACAGTTCCAACTTAAGGGAGAATACAACCCTGCGCTAAAGCCAAAAAAGAAAAAGAAAAAAGAGCTAGAAAAAATAAAAAAAATGCAGCAGAAGCTGTTTGATTGGAGACCTGAGAAGTTTATCGGGGAGAGATCAAAACATGAAAGGGTTGTTATAGTAAAGAACCTTTTCCATCCTACAGATTTTGATAAAGAAGTACAGTTGATACTGGATTATCAACAGGATCTGAGAGAAGAATGTGGTAAATGTGGTGATGTCAGAAAAGTGGTTATTTATGATAGGCATCCAGAAGGTGTTGCTCAAATCACCATGAAGGAACCAGAACAAGCGGATGCTGTTGTACAGCTTATAAATGGGAGATGGTTTGGAAAAAGACAGATAACAGCTGAAATATGGGATGGTAGAACAAAGTACAGGATAGCTGAAACAGATTCAGAAATAACTAAGAGAATAGACAATTGGGAAGACTTTTTGGAAGGAAAAGATGGTGACAAAGCTAAAGAAAAAGACAGTGATATTGGCAAACCTTCTGAGGAGAAAATTGAAGATAAACATGATGGTAAGACTACATTAACAAAAACTGTTGAAGCAGATAGTGATGTAGATACTAAGACTTAATGTGTTTCAATATTTTAAGTAATTTACTGTTGTAAATAAAGTTTTCATGATCATGCTTCTAGTTTTTGTAACATTCATAAATTTTACAAAAAAATTAACTTTAAAAAAAAAGATTCAACTTAACTTTAACTAATCTAAAGTTATTAATTATTTTCTACTTTTAATTATTGTAGACCAGTATTTTGTTCAAGAATAAATGCCTGCAGGGAAAAAGCCGTGGTAGCTCAGATGGTTAATGCTCACAGTAAATTTCACATTGTTCAAGCAACCCAGGTTCAATATCCTCCGGCACCAATGAAGTTGTTAATTGCAATTTAAGATGCTGATTTACCATGTAGGCTAGGTTACTAGGCGGTAAAGGAAAACATTGTGAGGAAACCTGCATGTCTGAGAAATATTAAAAAAAAAATTCAAAGACGTGAAGTTTGTCAACACATGTTGGCAGACATTTCCTTGCCCTAAACCTTCTCAGAAATGAGAAGAGGCCTGTGCCCAGCAGTGGGACATATAGGTTGTAACTTTAGGGAAAAAGCAGTGCAACATGTTCATAATGCTTGTATGTGGTGGTTTCATACTGTTCTAATATAGCTAAGCACTGTTACATTATATCCTAACTATATTTTAACCAGCGATATGTAAGCATTGCTCTACTGTTCCTATGGGCTCCAAAACTTAAACTGGAATAAAAACTAGCATATATTTTTTAATGGCTTACTTTGCAAAAAGACAAATAAGTTAATACTTTTTTGCCTTTTAAAATTAAGCAAGTTTTCTTGCAACTTCAATTAGGTTACAATTTTAATACAGTAAAATTATGGAATATTCTACATCTGTCACTAAGTTACTTTAATATGGGTTATTCCATTTTTTTTTGGATGTTGTCTTTAACTTAATTTTAAATTGTTTTAAATGCCAAGATTTCAATGAATCTGTAATCCAGTGAGGCACTTCTTTTATTTCGGAGTTGACCTTTCAAACAAGAAGTATTTATATATTTTTATATTTATGCTAGTTTTTATATGTATTTTATATGTAGGGCTAGTTTTTATCGTGTTTCTATAAATGATTGTACACAGCTGAGGAAGAAAAATAATATGACAACGGATCCATGGCGCAGTGGCATAGCAATGAGTTACAGCGCTAAGGGCCACGGATTCGAATCCCACATGGAACAAGTATTTATATGGCCTACAAGTAATTGTTACAAGTCTGGATGTTTGACCTTGTGAAATTTATGTTTGTAAACTGCCTCTACGATACAGGAGAAAATCCTAATGTGGAGGTAATGTTTATTATGACGACAAAAAAACAAATTCTGATTATACACCCTGTCTGGGGTATATAGATGAACACACATTTCCAAGTATCCACCCAAGGGTGTGGCCCGTTTCGTCTCTTTCGAGTAGTTCGAGCACTAGTCCATATCAATATATTATTATAAATAAATCTTAACGGTAAGTAATAACAAATAAAACAACGCTGCCCCAATGCATGTTGGCGAAATTCACATGACTACGAAAAAGATTTTTTTCTTATTTCTGAGAAATGCAGGTTTCGATGACGATGTTTTCCTTCACCGACGAGCACGTGGTGATTCAGCACGTAAAATTGCAATTAACGATTTCATTGGTGGCGGCGGGGATCGAACATTACATTTGCTTATTTATATTCATAAGCCAACTTTTTGCAACTTTCAGTCAAACCAGTCGTGTTCAAGACACCTAGAACCCGTGATTTGGTCATCTACGGTGAAGGAAAACATCGCTTGTATGGTGATATTGTCCTGTAACTTTCTAGACTTTATGTGCAACAAATCAGGTTTTCGGATACATCGGATGAGACCTGGTGTCATCCAGGGTTTGACTGTACGAAATTTCCTTGAAAGAACTTTTACTGAGGAATGTTTCTTTATAAAACTGCCCACGATATCTATAAATACTTATATATTAGTTGCAAGATTAGGATCTGATTCTTTCAAAACGACTTCAAAGTCATAACTCATAATTATCTACTTAATTCGCGTTTGATTTCCACAAATTTATTATATTATATATTTCCAAAAAGTTTAAATATGTTTTGGGTTTCACGGCATGATGTAGCCATTTATCCTTTTTATATACCTAGTAACAGAAGAGTAGGTATATGGCCAGTTATTGCATTTTCAAGAACTATAACTCATGCATCAGCTTGGTTTTCAGCAAAATATGATGCAGACAGTTTTTTCCAAACGAGTCGGCTTATTATGAGCTTAATGTTTTTCTATTGTAAGAATAAAATAGTACTCATTTTTATATAGTTATTGTAATAAAATGCGAATATAAATAATAATCATAAGTTAGGTAGCGAAGAGAATTTAAATGAAAAATATGACTAGGTAGTTAAATATAAACGAAAGTAAAATACTTAGACACTAAACTTAATCACAAGAAGCATCGAAGTCATTGCCTGTATTTAATATTTATAATAAGGCATTCAACGTCACCAAGTTCTGAATCCCTACCAAAACAGTATTTTCGTTATAGGTTCACTCAAAATGTCATCTTGAGGCACTTGTCCTCCCAAAGACGAAAAAACATTTTCTGTATATTTAGCAGAGTCAACTAAAACAACCTTTCAGTACAACGGAGTTTCGTTTTAAAATTCCGAATTTTCCTGCAGGTGTACGCCACACACGGCGTCATTTGATATCGCGGTGGCGACCTTGACCAACCTTGACAAGATGCGGGCGGCGTATGCCGAGGCGGGGCGACACAAAGGCAACCGTAGGTACCTAAGCGAACAGACTATAATAAACGTCAGTTTCTCTATCTAGTCTGTGACTATAATCATCTATGTAGGCATTCTTTTCCAAGCTTTTATATGAATTATAATTATTGGACATTCTAAGCCATCTATGTTCTAAACTAATATTTGTATTGCTAGCGTTAATTATTTACATTATAGACTATGAGGTCAACTTTATGTCGGCCGTTTTGTGGCGGCGTAATAGGATCCACTACCTCATATAATCTCGTGGGTGTCGTAGGAGTAGGCGACGAATACGGGAAATCCAGAGAGATCGCATGGTCCCTTATTAATGGTGGTTAACGGTGGTATTCTGTTGAGGTCAGACGTGCGTTAAAAGTGCGAGACGTCTGGTACTACGATTATGAATCCGCCTGCCAAATTCTCCCTACAACGGGACAGATACGTTACCTGCAGTATTGTGTGTAACTTCTTAAGAGGATTGTGAGGCTGTAAATTTTCATACAAAAAGCGATAACGTTTTCCCCCCCGTAAACGTTGTTTAATTTTCGTAAATTTTTGAAATGTTGTAGATATAACTAAAAACTAGGTTCGTACGTTTTAATTTTAAATAAATATTTCGTACTTAATAAGTTATTAGCATCTAAACAAAAAATAGCAAAACATGAAGCTAAGGTAACCATAAGGAACGAAAGAATTGAACGCGTGACTGAGGCTCGTAATTTGGGTTTGTTGATAGATGATAAGTTACGCTTTGAAAGTCACATAATAAACACTGCAAGAACATGTTTTTATAGGTTAAAAGTATTATATCAAATTAGAAGTTGCCTAAATACCGATATGCGGATAAGACTGTGCGACTCTTTGATTCTGTCTAAATTTAATTATATGGATATAGTGTATGGCCCTCGTCTGCTTGTGCGTAGCAAGAAACTTGTCCAGAGGGTGCAGAATGCTTGTGCGAGATTTTGTTTTAAAATACCTCCCCGCGCTCACGTTACGCCGTACATAAAGGAGCACAATATTTTAAAAATGCAGTATCGGCGAGAACACCACCTAGCCACATTTCTATTTGGATTAATTAAATATAATGTGCCACCTTATCTTTATCACAAATTAGTGTGGTCTCGCGACGTACAATCAAAGATCACTCGCTCGTCATGTTACTCTTTGGTTGTTCCCTACCATCGTACCATCGCCTTTCGTGGAAGTTTCAAATATTCTGCCTCTAAATGCTGGAATAACCTGCCGCCACCGCTTCGTAGTCTGGAAACATTAAATACATTTAAAATAAAATATAAAACTCACCTAATTATTGTTCAAAAAGCTATGGCTTGATATTTACCTACCTAAATAATTACAGACACTTAGCGCTATCCGGCGGGGTCATACGGAAAGCATATGAGTCCATAGTACTTGTTTTGATACTTAAAGGCTGAAATAAAAGTGTTTTTCATGCTATTAGTAATAACTATGATACAAGTATATGTTTAACGTGCAATCACTATTGATTTATTAAAATATTGTTTCTAATGATAACATTGTTGTTTAAGATTATGGTTATGATTACATACCTGTGAGAAAATATTTTTGTAGGGTACCATCATTTAGTGTTTCTTCTTTTATATTATTTCCAACTGATACCTCATAGATACATGGCTCTTATGGTGATAGCAATACTTTTTAAAATGTTTCGGACATTCTTGGTATTAGATCCAGTTAGTTCATTTATGTAATCTATGTTAATTATTATTAGTCTATCAATGACGGTGTGAACGTCCGCACGTCACTTAATTTACAGGCCCACTGAAAACCAGCGCTGTAGTCTCGTATCGGCTGCGGCATTAAGCTGAGTGCGGTCTGTTTGCCGTGTACGCCACACACACTTGTGTGCGTAAAATGTGTGATGTTGTGTTTAATATTTTTTTTATTCTTCTTTTTTTCTTTTTTACTATGTATTTTTTATGTTTTTGGTTTAAATGTACATGTGGCGTATTTGAGCAATAAATGTTTTTTTTCTTTCTTCTTTCTTTCTTAAATATCTATATTTTTGACTCAAAATCTTCCTCGAGCGTTTTTGTTTTTCTTAATTTAACTAAACTGATTTATTTAAAATGAAAAACCTACAGACCTAGACTAAGGTGTACTGAATCTAATGAGACCAAAATTATCTCACTTCGTAAAGGTTTAGGGGGGTAAAAATGTTATCGCCTGAAACAATATTTCAATAAAGAAATGTAGGAAATTGCTTCCAA